CGACCCATAGCGACCCTGTACAGGGTTTCCGAGGGTGTAAATCTTTACGGGAGTAGAAAGCCTGATCTTTCTCCCGCGGAGCAGCTGGTAGTTTCGAACCGCTGACCTTAAGGTTCGCAGCCCGATTCGTAACCACTACGCTACCTTGTATATAAGTATGTATATGTATTTCACTGGCTTTGCTTCTCTAAAGAACTCATGCTCAAACAAGCATATACATAGTGCTGTTGCTGTTAAGTGCCATACTTTACCTTTTGTCTAAGAAAGGAAGGGGCTATGAATGTAAATATATATTTCCTTGACTACCAGAAATTAAGTAATGAAAAGATAGACTATATATATATTTTGTAAAGATACTATAGGAGAACAGAGGGAAGAGAGGATAAGAGACAGGAGAGAAACTAGACTTATTGGACTATACTTTGCTTTCTACATACGATATGGAATTTAAAATAGAATAAAAAACCAATTTCTTATATGAAAAAAATGAGAATGTCTGTATCCAACTGGTAGTATGGGCATGTTGTTGTTGTTGTTAAGTGCCGTTGAGTCGGTTCCGACCCATAGCGACCCTGTACAGGGTTTCCGAGGGTGTAAATCCTTACGGGATTAGAAATCCTCATCTTTCTCCCGCGGAGCGGCTGGTAGTTTCGAACCGTTGACCTTAATGTTCGCAGCCCGATTCGTAACCACTACGCTACCAGAGCTCCTTTACCAAGAGTAATATCTTCTGTGACTTTAACACGGGAGCATTTAACTGGGCATCCCCAATGGGAAGTGATTCAGTGGCCACTCTCAGTTGTGTTGGTATATTCTTCTGAGGTTTTTGTTGTGTGTGTAATGAGGAACAAGTCAAATGAGAAGTTGTATCGGTACAAAGGAAACCTGGGATTTGGGGTGTGGCTCTGTAGCAGCTGATATTTTCTAAAAACATCCTTAACAATATTTCTGATCTTTAGGACCTTGGTACCAGCCCCAGCCCTTGAGCCCTTGTGACGGCCTTGATGAATAGAATATGGTGGAAGGGTTGCTTCATGTCTTTGGAGACTGGGTCATATGGCCACATGACTTCTTCCTGGCTCTCTCTCCCTTTGTCTCTCTTGTTCACTCCAGAACCTAGACATCATGCTATGAGCAAACCCAAACTAGCCCACACAGAGAGACTCCATAGACAGGTTCCTACAGAACGGAGGCTTGCAACTGACAGCCAGCATCCACCACCAGACACAGGGATGAATGAAGTCGTTAGGTGGTTCTAATCCCCAGTCTTTGTGAGTCTTCTAGTTAAGGCCCCAGACATCATGGAGCAAAATTGATTTGTTTCCACTGCCCTGGCTGAGTTTCAGACATTCTGAGTAAAAGAAATGTTGCTTACAGTCAGGACATTTTGGGGTGGTTTATTACACAGCAATAACTGGATCACCACAGCAGTTTAAGCCCACTAGCTGTTCCATGGTAGAAAGATGAGGTGTTCTGCTCCCATAAAGATTTACAGCTTTGAAAACTCTACACAGGGTCATTGAGTGGCAATAAGTGTAGAAAACTCTACACAGGAATCAACTCAGTGGTAATGGGTTTGGTTCTTGGATGTTCCTAAAAAAAAAGGAGTCCTGGTGTGGCGCTGTGGGTTAATGCGCTGGACTACAATGTTGGTTTGAACCACAAGGTTGGTGGTTCAAGCTCACCAGCTGCTCCTTGGAAACCCTATACAGGGTTGCTATGGGTCGGAACTGACTTGACGGCACTTAACAACAACAAGTGATGTAGAGTATATACAGAGTCACTGTACCAAGGAGACTTGATCGATATTCAACCATTTCAAGAGGTAGCATATGATCAAGAACTGATAGTGCTGAAGGAAGACGCCAAGCTGCACCGAAGGCATTAGCCAAAAATAAGACTCCAGGAATCAACAGAAAATAACTACCTTTTAAACTGAAAGAGACCCATATTTATGCCCATTCCAAAGAAAGGTGACCCAATGGAATGTGGGAATCATCGAACAATATCATTAATATCACATGTAAGTGAAATTATGCAGAAGATAACTCAAAACTGGTCGCAGCAATACATTGACAGAGAGTTGCCAGAAGAGGAAGTAGAACTAGGGATATCATTGCTGATGTCAGATGGGTCTCGGTTAAAAGATGGGAATACCAGAAGGATGTTTATTTGTGTCTTATTGACTGTGTAATGGCATTCGATTGTGTGGATCATGACAAACTGTGGATAAAATTGTGAAGAATGGGTATTCCAGAACACTTAATTGTGCTCATAAGGAGCTTGAACATAGATTAAAAGGCAGCTGTTCAAACATAACAAGGGAATACTGAATGTTTTAAAATCAGGAAAGGGTTTAGTCTTTCACCATACTTACTCAATCTGTGGAGTCCTGGTGTGGTGCTGTAGGATAAGCACTGGACAGCTAGGTCAGTTTGAACTGCAAAGTTGGCAGTTCAAATTCACCAGCCACTCCTTGGAAACCCTATATAGGGTCTCTATGAGTCAGAACAGACTCGTCAGTACTTAACAACAACAGCAACATTCTAGCTGTAGGCTGAGCAAATAATTCGAGATGCTGGATTACATGAAGAAGAATGTGACATCAGGATTGGAGGAAGACTCATTAACAATCTGTGATATGCAGATGATACAGCCTTGTTTATTGGAAGTGAAGAGGGCTTGAAGTGCTTACTGATGAAGATCAAAGATTACAGCCTTCAATATGGATTGCACCTCCATGTAAAGAAAGCGAAAAGCCTCACACTGGACCAATGATTAACATGATAAACAAACAAACAAAAAAGATTGAATTTGTCAAAGACTTCATTTTGCTTAGATCCACAATCAGTGCTCATGGAAGCAGCAGATGTACTGAAATGTACTGCATTAGGCAAATCTGCTGCAAAAGACCTTTTTAAAGTATTCAAGAGTAAAAATATCAGTTTGGACACTAAGGTGTGTCTGAAACATGGTTTTTCAATAGTTTCATATGCATGTGAAAGTTGGACAATGAACAAGGGAATCTGGAGAAAAACTGTTACCTTTCAATTATGGTGTTGGTGAAGAATGGAAAATATACCATGGAGTGCAAGAAGAATGAACAAATCTTTCTTGAAGGAAGTATAGCCAGAATGCTCCTAAGAAGCAAGGAAGGTAAGACTTCATCTCTCATACTTCAGACATGTCAGGAGGGACCAACCCCTAGAGAAGGGCATCATGCTTGGCAAAGTGGAGGATTAGTGAAAAAGGAAGACCCCCAACAAGATGGATTGGCACAGTGGCTACAACAATGCGCCCAAGCATAGCAGTAACTATGAGGATGGCACAGGACTGGGCAGTGTTTTGTTCTGTTGTATACTGGGTCACTATGAGTTGGAGCCAATTTGATGGCACCTAATATTGAAAGTGCCATGGGCTGCCAAAAGAACCAACAAATCTTTGTTGGAAGAAGTGCAGCCAGTGCTCCTAAGAGGCCAGGATGGCCAAATTTCGTCTCTCATACTTGGGACATATTGTCAGGAGGGACCATTAGCTGGAGAAGGATATCATGTTTGGTAAGGTGGAGGGTCATAGTAAAAGAGGAAGACCCTCAACAA